CACCAGCCAGTCCGTGTTCACTACTCTGCGTCTTTACCATCCTCATCTTGGCCTCTCAATCTATCGTCGGAGGGGGAAGCAGCGTTGCTTACTGAAGAATGGCTGTCGGTGTTGGTCGCTTCCTGAATTGTTCCCTGCACAGCAGGACGGCTTTGTTAGAATCTTTCGACCTACGATTGATTGAGTGCAGAGACAGAGAGAGAGAGAGAGAGAGAGAGAGAGAGAGATTCCTGTTTGTGAAATTCTCCAGTTTTTACAGACTAAAATATGCTCCCATGCAAGAAGAATATACCTCTTCCATGTTTCTTTTTGGGGTTGCTTCGTGTGTATCATGGCTAAGTCCGCCATTGCTACTAGCTGAAATCGGTTCATTTTCATGGGATTCCTCCTGTTCAATATTGACAAAAAATAACATTTCAGTTTTCTGAAAGAAATGATATTATGTTGCCAATCAACAAAATAACCTGACCTGCTCATCTTTGGTGTCTGGAGCAGAGCTGTCAAAATTCTGTTTCCCATCAATGGCAAAAGAGTCTGTGCTTGCCTCATCTGTTTGCTTTGCTTGTTCCACAAGTTGTTTTCTCCTTGACTCTTCTTCCATTAATTTCTTAAACCTGCCAATCATAATGCAATGCACAAAAACATATCACAATATGAAACATTCGCACCCTGTGCGGGTTAGTTAGCTAGCACAACAACAAAACAAAATAAAAACATTCATCCTTCAAGCAACACATGTCATGCTGCGTTTTCTTCTTGGGTACTCTTCTACAGTTACAAAATTCGATGGTTTATCAGCTCTCGAAATTCTATATTTTATTTAGTCTGGTGGATGCATTGGACTTATTTAGTAATGGCATGAATGATTGTCCCTTTTAATTGAGCAATATCAGAGCTAAAGTGGAACGGAACAGATAAAATGCAGTACTCAAAGCTCCTAATAATTAAAAGCACAATTGACATGATGAAAACATGATGCTATTCGTTGGCACATTACACTAGCTGCAGCAAGCAAATCCAAGAGTGTAACTGAAAGTGATGCACTGTCCAAATACTTTGACTGGGCATGGGCAGACAGGACAATATCGACGCTAACACATGTACCTACAGCCCAAGGAGAAGAAGATGAAGTGTAGAGTGCTCATAGTTCATGTGAATGATTTACTGGACAGATATGCAGTCTCACATGATTTAATAGTACCGATTGCTATATCCCAAGCATGACACTGGAAATTTTCAAATATATTCTTGAGGTTGATCCTAAATTTCCTGTTATACAAAAGGCTTCAATATATCCAAAATTGAATTACATCTGTTTCCCCTTATTTCAGTTCCAGTTTGAAACAGAGAGTATTTCTTTTAAGTCCGATAATCACCAGCTAGACAAAATTGTAGGTAGAGTTTAGCCAGCTACATACATGGTCACTGAATTCTCATTTATCAAGATGCCAATTAAAATGCTTGCCAAACTTATTGCTGATGTGAGTTGTAAGGATCTTGCATCCAATGGTTGAGACCATGATGACATTAATGCTGAGATAGTACATGCATTGAGCAGCAATCTTAAGCAATATCGCATTACCTTCCACCGCGCTGCGGTTCGCTTGGTTTTGGCACTTGACCGGGCTGGGGTTTACCAGCTTTTGGGAGAACCTCACTCTTATCAGCAGGTTCATACTTTCCAACATTAGTTGATTCCTCTCTAGCAAGCTTGTCAATATATTCTTGGACAGGATTTTTGGCACCTCCAAGCTTTTGAAGCCACACTTGTTGTGCACTGCTAAGGACATTATTTGTAAGCCTGCAAGAAAGTACAACTAGTAAGAACCACTGAAGCCACAAAATGACACAGAAATCTGGATAGGTCTGATGGAATGTTCACGTATGTCAACCTGAAACTAAAAGGAATGAAACAATCGTGCTATAAGACAAAACGAAGATGTTTGAAGCAAATCAAAGCATGACAACTTGATCTCGATTATGTAGTATGCTGGGCTGCTGGCACAACCAGCATAGGTACATAAATAAATATAAATATGGAAATGCTCCGATGAACATATGAGCACCTGCTCTATTTATAGTAAGTTATGTTAAAGCCTTTATTTCAATGAACAATTGAACATGTTTTTTGTATAACAAACAGTTGGAATTTCTACAGTACTCACCAATATAGACTCAATCCAGAAGGAACGGAAAGAGCAAAATAACCAATTAGCAAAGGCAGGAACTTCACTGCAGCTTGTGCACCTTGCTGGCTAGGATCATTGCTCTGCAATGACATGGACAACAGTAAGCTCAAGTAAAGACAAACCTCATGGGTTACCAGTTACATTGGCATCATACAGCAAAGGAGGTGCATGTCCTTGATCTTTGTGTGTTTCTTTCTCAGTGCCCCAAACGTTTTCCTCTAAAGAGTAAACAATTAACAGAGTTCAGAAAAGCTGCAACTATACTGCTTTACATGTCTTTACAGGTTACTTAGAGGAAAGACAGTCTTCTGTGGATATTTGAATAATCATGATTCATGACTTATTCAACTAGAAACAATGAAGCCAATCAGCAGCATTGTATTGCATGTATTCATTTTGAGTTCCATAATCCATATAGAAACAATCCAGCTGATAAGAAAATTTCCATACTAGTACCGAGGACCAAAAATAATGCCCTAAAGAGTATAATACAATACAGTAGATAGGATCAGCACTTGGCAACACAAACCTGTGATGATTGCATTATCTGAGCAGATACATATTGCGAAATAACCAGAAGAATTGGTAGAACAAGGTATGCCATAGTGTCCGACCAACCAAGTGGTGGATGTCCGTCCTACAACATCATCAATTATATCAGTGTCAAAGAAATAAGGAGAAAACTCCATAAACTTCCAGGTAACCATAGAAATTTCTGGGAGCAGAATTGTACTAGATGTGCCTGCTTTTAAAACCATGATTTTGAAGTGCCTACAGATTGTCCACCACACAGGCAACCATAATCTTCTAATGTAAAAAAGTAAGAAGGGTGTGTTTGGTTGCATTCTCATCTCAGCATAGTTGTTCCCTTTCCGTGCATGCTCATCTCAGCACCCCTCTTCATGCATGCTCTTCTCATGCATGCTCCTAGTGTATTTGTGTTAAGCTAGTGTGGACTCAAGCACCCTTCATACACTCTACCAAACACCCAAAAGTGGGTCGAGAAGGGAACTTTTGCTCTCATGCACTCTTCGTACACCCTACCAAACACACCCGAAATGTCTACCAAAGGTGATGCAACTTATCATCACAGAGGACCTTCCATCAATGTTCATGGACAATGCAACTATGTTGACAACACAGTTGCTGTGGTGCTTACAAAGGAGCCAACAAGTGAACACAACATGCGTGTACACGTATCTGTCTTTTTTGGACAGCTAGGTACAGTGGGGAAAGTTATATCTAAGCAAGATCACCATTTTTTCTGACAAGAAAAATGTGAACAAGGAGAAGGCATTTTTTATGCAACACAACAATGTTGAAATGAAATAATTTAGCAACATGGAGAGGAATCAACATGGTCCTAAACACTAAAGTTGCATCTAACTCAACGGTGAAGGCTAAACTGCTTGCTATGTGATTAATAAGTGTGACCGTGCTGATGCACAAACATAATGGTACGAGTAGGACATTACTTGGCCTTATAATTAAGGCTCAAAGCCAGGATATAGCATGAAGTTATCGAGTTCGATATGATTACCGTAAACGGAAAAAGCCAGGATATTCCTTGGCCACTTTCTCGAGCAGCAATTGTTGTTGGACTGGCCAAAGAAGGTATCCAAAAAAAGCCTTCTGTAAGAAGTCCCTTTTTAATGTAGACGCATTAGGTAATATCGATGTTTAGTGTTCAGCAGAAAGAATGACAAAAAAGAACATTTAATCATATCAACCTCATTAGCTACATTGGAGAGAGCTTTGTATAGACCAATCCAGACTGGTATTGTTACAAGAGTAGGCAAGCACCCTGGTGCAAAAAAAATGCCAAAGGAAACTGCACATCATTAACTAAACAAGAAAATACCTCAATAGAAACGGTAGCAAACTAGCAACAGATCAAGAAAATGTGAGACCCAATTAAATTGAAGTCTTACTATGCATTGAGCTTTGAGGGGCTCACATTGAGCCCCTGGTAGGAAAAATACTAAGCATAGTGTGTATAACTACCTGCAAGTGGATCAACGCCAGACAACTTATATAAATGGGCAGTTTCGAGTTGTATCCTTTCCTGGAAAGATAAATAAATAACTTACAGACAATAGTGATTTCAGTAGCATTCCAAATACATTGCTAATGATCTATAGTGTACTATGTAAATCCATTCCACTTTATAACCCAAGTGCCAAGTGAGTTATTTTAGTTCATCATTTGTTTACATGCATTTTATCTGATATATGCACATGGAGGAATGAGCACCTTTTTTAAAGACATTTTGGATAATATTTCAATTAGCTGCATGTCTTAAAATTTAAAAATGTACTTTGAAATGAGCTAACCCTACATTAATTCAATCATGTGGCTTTCCCACAGAACATCTTAACAGCTCTGAGGAAATATAAAATAAACTATATGAAAAATATGTCTTTCACTTGATGTAGACCTTAATGCATATTGCATTTATTTTTGCCCCTACTGAATTGATGACAAAAGGTTGACAGGTTATCATATCATCGGTCCACTGTGTGCATTGAAGAATCTAATTTAAGAATATGAGCAACATTCCAATAAAGGAACACATGCGGAAGTTTATATATGTAAAACATAAATACCTGATCCCCAGCATGTCGTTCTTGAATAGCCTTCACTTGAGGTTGAAGTGACCTCATTGCAAGTGCAGATTCGACCTAGATGGAACAAAAAAAAACGAGTTTCACTATTGGATACAAGAATATCAGAAAACATTTAAGCACTTTAGCATCAAGCAACAATATTTGCCAAGCCTGGACCATGCAGGACTGTGACAGGGTGTGATACATCCTCATTTATCACTAGTAGTAGGTAATGCTTGAATGCAAAATTAAACTCAGAAGACTTTAATGTCATCAATTGTTTACGGCCAGAAGTTCCTCCCAGGGCCAGCTGAAACACACGTGATTCACATTGTTCTTGTAAAACAGACCCCACAATAAAGTTGTTGCCAGGTAGTACTGGACTACTGGTACAATCAATCAATTGATGTATTAATTACTGGTTCAGCTGGGAAGGACCTGCAAGGAACCACCATGTCACCATCTACTAGGATATGCTTGAAGGTACAACCAGTAGATAGATAAGATAAAACGCTCTCAAAATGCTGGATATGCATCGTGTATTCATGAATATCAAGATTTTCTTGTTAAGCTGTGGATCACAATGTTTCCAAAGTTCAGTCATGGTAAATGGTATCGTTTCTCAATAAATGCTGAGTGGAATTGCAGAGATATCACAAATTCATAATGCCTCTTAGAAAGAACTCCCACAATGCACAGTTTCACACTTCTATGCAGTAATCATTTTTAATCATTTCACGACGAAATAGTGAGCATACATCACCACCTTTATTTGAATAACATTTACTGCAATCTAAATTCGAAATATCCCATTACGTTCTGGCCGTAGCAACACGGGAGAGAGATTTACCTGCTTCTTTGTAAGAGGAAAAGTGGCCCCCTTAATCAGAACCGTCAGGAGGATGATCGCGAAACCATATGGATAAGGAACATGAAGAGTCGAAAGACCATCTTTCAGAACCTGCCAATGGGAAAAAGATACATATCACATAATATACTTGAGATTTCGGGCATGATA